GAAATTTATGTTTATAAAGATGAGTTCCGACTCGGTCTCCACTTTGTGCTGTGTACCAAGTTGATGAAGAAAATAAATTGCAATGGCATCCTACCACCCAAATTCTGCTAAATTTGATTGTGAGTCACTTTCACCCTTCATCTTTGCAAGCTAAATCAGTCATGAAGCCTTAGCCTCTTCCGTCACATGTTTCCTATCGCCATTTCATTCACATCGACCAACATCCATATGATAAAGTTGGTAAATAAGATTAAAATTTGGAAGAAGCACTCCAGATTCATTTTGTGTTTTCATCCTTAGCCAATTTACATTAAATCGGTAAGCATCAAGAACCTGCCCCTCTAAGACATTAACAAGAAAAGCAAAGCAATCCTAGCAGCATTGAAGATACTATCACTAGACACACTAAATTTTTTACAGCCAAGTCAAATGAAAAGTTACTTGTCATGTAAGTTATTAGTCCTTTCAGCACGTGTAAGTTGCTTGTCCTTTCAGCACGTGTAAGCTTATTTCTTGGTTTGGGCAAGTTAGTGACTTTTTCATATTTTCTTTTCAACCATCCTGAATGCATTATTCATTCCCGACGACCCAAAAGTCGTCAAATTTCTAGAGGAAGGGGCAAGAGTAAAAGGGCTTCACATAAGAGAGTGAGTATCAAGGTGGGAGACACCACAAGTCAATATTTCAAAGGTAGGTTCATCTCCATCAAAGGAGGATACCAAGTGCCCGAGGGTGAAGCCACATCTTCGCTTATTTATGTTGCAGTTGAAGTGACCACAATGGCCAAGTCTGCTTTGGCCCTAAGAACATGCACTGTTGTGATGTCGACCATGTAGTGTACTTCAAGCATAGTCATTAGAGAACAACAATCACGAAGGTCAAAGTGCAAAGGAGAAGAAAATAGGTGATATTCCAAAAAATATATCAAGATGAATAGACACCCGAAAAGATTCAGCAAGTGCGAGCTAAAGAGATGCAAGAGATAGGTGCTAAGTTTTAACCTAAAGAGCGAGCTTCATTTGGAGGAAATGAGGGTGATAGGCATCCAATGGAAATATGCAATCGCCTTAGCAAGTGACTATGCCCATCAATTCGTGAACATTGAAAAAATGGGAGCCAACGACTATCACACCCCAACTGGCCCCGCTTTAAAGGTCGGTTGAGATGCGATTGAGGCAAGCAATTTGGTCTGACTAACTCTCACCAGCACTCATCCTGACTTGCTAATCAGGGTCTAATGAGTGATGAACTAGTCTACTCATCATAAACATATGTGATACATTACATATCATTTGATTTATTTTCATCTATTCGGAAGAATGAAAATCATATCATCAAAATATGTATACAAAGCTATTAAATCCAAAATAATAACAGTACGCATCAAAAACGTCTGTGCAAGCTCTCAAAAATATATAGTGCAAAAACTAAACAAATCACATCTAGCTACTTAGCTTGATGTTTGTTGCCCCTAACTGAAAGGCAACAATGTGAAGTGAGGAACAACGAACTCAAAGAAATAATCAAGGATAAAATAAAATTTTATAGACAGAAAAGAAATAACGTGTACTCATATGTAAATGTATATGTCTACTAATCATATACATAAAAAAAAAATTAGTAGTAGAAATCAAAACTGTCGTATAAACATGTATGTCATGTCATAAGCATGAAATCATAAGTATAATCAAAAGCATGTTCATAAGTTGTTTATTATATGTAATCATAGCAATGTTATTTCATAGATATCATTTCATAATAATGTCATGTGTAAATGGGTCTCAACTATTTGTGTCCTGTCATATCAGGGGTCATCACCCAAACCCAAAGAACATATAAATCACCTACTAAAAACACATGATTGACCTGCACTATTTGTAAACTCTATCGCCATAACCAGTAAATAATTTCTTAGATTTTAACTCGACAAAATAAAGTTTAATTGACCTCGAGAATTGATGCAACACATTATGTGGATCAAAAAAATTAATTTAAAAGTCCAACTATAAGGTCAAAGACTAAGAGCTAAATAAGAGACAAATGAATAGGCCCAATTTTAAGAGCACAATAAGAGGCCCAAAATTTGGAATATTTTGAATATATTTTCTATTTTAGAAATTTTAAGATTTAGATTTTCATATAGAAGATTGTATGGCCAACTACAACATAGATGTATTAAAAATGAGCGGTTAAAGTTGCTCTATAGTAATGGCCACCAATCCCTCATTTTCCCCTCTTTTTTACCCCATTGGTTCCCTCCAAAAGTTTTAGCCCAACAAACTTATAATGCCTATAAATATGGCCTGAAATGTTTTATAATTTTAGTAGTTGAATGAAATGCCTTAAGTGAAACTTCCCTTTTTTTAGTTTGTTGCATCGTATAACATATTTCACCTTTGATTTAGTAAGATAGGATAATTATTCTTATTCTATTTTTTATTTTACTTGATATCCTCCTCAACATCTGCTCTTAACTCTTCTCACATCTCATCTCCCCCAAAATCCCTAGAATCTTCTAAAACCAGCCACTACTCAATCCAAGCTTCAAGCACATTATAAAACCCCTCATTAAGCCGACGACTAAGAAAGGCATGATTATGTCAGTCTTCATCTATACCCCTCAACACGAATATAAAATTTATCAATTTTAACCATCTACTTCAAATCATAAATACACATTATAATCTAACCATCCATGAGAATTTTTAGTTATTTACCTTACAAAATATCTATGCCTTCAAGAAAAAATCCAAATAACCCCCAACTAGCCAAATTTGGATTATTCCAAACATTTCAACCACTATACTACTTACAATCTCTCATCACTCCATTATATACTCCGGAACACTTTTAAAAAAAAAATCTAAAGCCTTTACCACTCCTTAATTTCATAAAACAGGTTACCCACCACTATCAAATTTGGTGAGCTCCAATAGTTTTGCCAATGTCCACAGCTACTATAGGCCAAGATCATAGCCAATAGATCCTTCATAAAGACCCTAAGTAGGAGTAGCTTGAGCAATAGCTCACTTCAAGTTTTTAGTTTTGAATCTCTCTCTTTGAAGTCCCGCGATGAAACCAACATGCCTGACTCTTGGCGCATCTTCAACCAGGGATGCAAGTTTTTTTCTAAGATCGTTAGGCACTTTGTGTAATGAACATTCTCTTTAACTCAACGAATGATATGATCGTACGTAACTAACTGGATAACCATCTCAGGGCTCCTTCAATGTGGTGAAGATCAATTGACACTTGCATCTTTGTGTTAAGCAATGAGACAATTAACTTAAAATAAAAAACCTAATCAACCACAACAATCCAACCTCAGTAGATATCAAGGTGTAAGATCTTAAATCTTGCTAACTTACTCGTTTCAATGATCTTTCTAAAGAAGGTGTTGGTCAACTACGATTATTTCTCTTGGCTCAACTTTCCAATTGGTGAGGTTCTGAGGACAATTCTTCCTTATCGTTTTCAAAGTAATAGATATTATCCATGGATGATAACGCTCCCACCCCTGAGTTTCTCCTCGTAATCGTCGAGTCGGTGGAACCCTCAAGATGTTGCACTCCATGCATTCTTCTCCAGATCTGATCTAGGTCCAACCCTTGGAACATTCCAATTAGCCTCTCTTCCATTGTTTATGGTTTGTCTAATTGTCACAAATTCTTGATTCTTCACATTAAGAGAATTTTCTCTAGCAATGGTTCCTCTAATTTGTTCTCTTTAAGCTACTATGCAGATCTCTCTCTTCTGGTTTTTAGCATAGATTCAAGCTTACCATAACATTGGTTACAAGAGAGCCATACAAACTTGGACCAAATGAGAAAAAAATAGTAGAGAAGTGTTGTGAGAATGAAAAATCAACTATAAAGCTTTAAAACAGTACAGAATAAGGTGAATATATAACTAGATTTTGGATCTTGAACCATTGGCTCTCTCTCTGAGATATCCTATTTATAAATAAAGAACCTAGGGTCTCAATCTCTACAAAAGAATTTACAAAATAAGCTATGCATATAATAAATACAGAAGGAATAAAAGAGGAATGAGTAGCCCTAGATTCAAACTAAGACTGGTAGTTGGTCATCGAGTTTGAAAGAAACACAAGGTCTCCTAGTGCTAACCGTTGAGTAGCTTTTGCTCCTGGATCGAGCGAGTCTGGTGAGAATATTGGGTGAGTCCTTTATGAGCATCAGCTGATGTTCCTTTCTGAAGTCAGTTGATGAGTCCATCTAGGACCAAGTTGATGAGTCCATCTAGGACCCATCTGATGAGTCCATGTCAGGCTAGGTTGGTGAGTTTGCTCAAAACATAGCTGGCCAGCACAATTCTCAAGCCCGTCTTGCGAGTTTGCATTAAGCCCAGCCAGACAAAGTCGTCCCATTGCCTTTCATTTAGGCGAGTCCGCCTCTAGGTATATAAAAATATAGTCTATCACACAGTTTGCTAGGATCAATGTTCGCACATTGAAATAGAAAAAAAAACAAATAAAAAATAAAGCTATACTTCCCAAATAAACCTTTACAGAAAATGGATTTCTTGTAGGGTGAACCACAACTGTCTGCGTGCAATACCTTCCAGCTAAGTAAATATAAGGATTCATATATGTCAAAACCTTTGGAATTCTATCGGTGCTGGCTAGTAATACTCTTTAAACAATATTATGTCATCTTATTAGCAAATGTCAGTTTTTGGGTTTGTCAATATTTGTAATTAATAATTTCATAAGCGTCATTCATGTCCTAATTTGGTGGCAACTAGATGTAAGTTAATTCTGAGCAGATTTTAGACTAGATTATCCAACAATTAAAATAAATGACAACAAAAAGAAAGATCAAAATCATCATTAATCTTCCTAAAAAATATTACTTTAACAAGTGGCCAATACGCATAAAATTACAACAATGTCGAAAATTTGCTTTCGAAATGATTTTACTGATTCCAACATCAGCATTAGATGAACCAAAAAAAAGAGGTAGAGAGAGAGAGAAACTTACAGCCTATCATTAGCCTTTTTTATGGCTTCCTTGTCAACCATCTGTAACCAATTCACAACATTAGAAACTCAAGCCCTAGAGTCATGATAGGATGGACAAGGGATGAAAGGCAGGGAGAAACCTTATGGAGATCCATAAAGTGTCGCCGGGAAGTGATCCGATAATTTTGATCCGGATGCACATAGCACGCTGCTATGGGCGCGGCGGCGAGGATCTTCGCATTCGTGGTAAGAGCGGAGGCTGCGGATGGAAGCTGCAGCACTCGCCTAAGCATATTAGCAGGGGTTTATTGTTCACGCAAGGGTCTCGGCATAGGACTTTAAAAGCCGCCAGTTCGTCGTTAATCACGAGCAAGGGTCTCGGCATAGGACTTTAAAAGCCGCCAGTTCGTCGTTAATCACGATATAATCCTTAAATACAATAAAGGGAAATATATTAAAATAGCACACAATTATTATTTTATTTATATATTCACTTCTAAATTTTTATAATTACATAAATAATTTTTCCAGACTAGCGATTAATTGTTACTGTTGGATAATGTGGAGACCCAGTACACTGCAATTTAATTAACATTCTAATTAAGAATCTCAACTACCGCTTACCTCTCACACCACCGCTCATCTACCACATCTCACCTACCTCTCACACCACCGTTCTTTTAGTTTCTATAAATAGACTCTTATGGCTTATCATAATATCAAGTCTTCTAAGAGAAAAAGAGAGGATGAGAAAAAAGAAAGGAAGGGAGAGAAGAAAATGGAGATTTTCTTGTAAACATCGAGGCACTCGACGGTGTAATTTCTCGAATAAATAAAATACTTTGCAGCTCCATGGACACAGGCAAATTTGTCGAACCACGTAAATCTGTGTGTAGCTCTGGTGTTTTTCTGCATAAAATTTTTCGCGTTCCATTTTTCGCTTTATTGTCGTCTTTTTTCATAACAACTGGTATCAGAGCCCTGGTTCAAATCTGAGAAAGAACGATGGTCAAAGACGAAGTGAAAGTTTTGGGGATCGAGAAATTCGACGGTACGGATTTTGGTTACTGGATGATGCAGATATACGACTACCTCTATGGGAAGAAACTTCATCTTCCATTACTGAGAAAGTGATCAGAGAAAATGGAAGAGGTTGAATGGAATCTGTTAAATCGACATGTTTTGAGGGTTATTCAACTAACACTGTCGAGATCTGTTGCCCACAATGTCATCAAGGAGATGACGACTCCAGATCTCATGGTGGTTTTGTCAGGTATGTATGAAAAGTCATCGGCGAATAACAAAGTACATCTGATGAAAAAGTTATTCAACTTAAAGATGGTGAAAGGCGTTTCTGTCGGCATCTAAATGATTTCAACACCATCACAAATCAATTATGGTCTCTTGAAATTGAATTTGACAATGATATATGAGCACTGATATTGTTGGCTTCATTGTCAAATAGCTGGGAAGCCATGAGGATGGCAGTTAGCAACTCTGCAGGTAAAACTAAGCTGAAATATGATGATGTTCGTGACTTGATTTTGGTTGAAGAGGTGCGCAGGAAGGATTCTTGCGAGGCATCGGGTTCGCGTTCAGCACTAAATGCTGATTCCAAAGGGAGATTACAAGACAGGAACTCAAACAGAGGAAGATCAAAATCAAAGCACAGAAGCAAGAGCAAGTCAAAGTCTGGTCAGCAAGCAACATGTTGGAATTGTGGCAAAACTGACCACATAAAAAAGAACTGCAAAAATCCTAAGAATCTTAAGAAGACGAAGAACATCAGTGCTAATGTTGTAACTGAAGAAGTGTAGGATGCGTTATCGTTTTGTTGACCTCACTTTTGGTTGAGGTTTAGTTTTTCATCTTTAGTAGCCTAGGGTCTAGCCATAGGACTTTTTTGTTGACTAGTCCTAGAGGACTAGAAAAGGAACCCTCACCATTAAAAATTCTACACTCTTCTTTGCTCAACTTGAAGTTCCACATATTGGTCCTAACCTCTAGCACTTAGTAGGTGGGGTCACTATGACGAAGCTCAAGGAGAGTCCCCTTAGGTTTTCTGACCTTAGGTTGACCATGCGTGTTAGTCTAGAGCTAGTTCGCTCACCCACACTCACTCTTACCCACAAATCACTCACAACCCTGAACCTAAAATTTCTTTATTTTGATCCCTTCATCATTTGGGAGACTCATGTAGATGGTCCTCTAAACCCACTAACCCTAGGCTAGGGTTTAGCTAAGACCAGTACATAAAGGACCCAAATGGGGTTTCCATTGGTCCATAGCTCATATAGGGTGGTTGGCACCCTAATTCTACAAAAACTATCCAACTTGGCCTTTTGCCCCAAAATCCCCCAAATTACCTAGATACCCTTGGAGCACTAAATTTGGCCAAAATTCCCAAATTCACCCAAAATATCCAAATTTGTTCAAAAATCATTTCAAACCATTTGAAGATACCCAAATTACCCAAAAACACTCAAAAATGCCAAATTTACTAAAATACCCCTAAAATTTCCAAAATTACAAAAATAGCCTTGGCACCCCAAACTTTCCCAAAACCTCCAAAATCACTTCAAATGTTTCTAAAACCAATTTGGACCCTCCAATTGAATCCAATTTGATCAATTTAACCATTTTTTGACCAAAACCCCCAAATTGTCTTTAAAGGCCCAACTTCCTCAAATTTACCCTAAATTTCCATTAATTTGGTCCCAATTTCCCCGATTTCAATCATAAACTCAAATTCACCTTTCATATGGCCAACCTAAACCAAATCTAAGCTTATTTTGGCTCTATGACTTAGTCCCACCAAAATGAACCCCATAGTCTACTCAATTTGCCATAATTTATGTTGAAAACTCTTCATAACAATCCTACACATCAAACTTGACTTTCAATTGTCCTTGGCAAAGTCTCAATTGCATTCAATTTTAACCCAAGTCCAAAAATCCCCAAATTTGCCCTAAATTGGCTGTCCCCAAATTCTACCAAATTGATTGCCCTAACCCCAAAATTGACACCCAATTTATGTTGAAAAATCTTCATGATGTTCTTATAGACCATTTTCAACAATCAATTTAGACTTAGCCCAACCTAGACTAAAGTCTAGCCCAACATGTCCAAATTGACCAAAATCCCAAAATCCTTCAAATTGAACCCCCAATTGAACTCAAAATCATTTCAACCCTTCACTAAAAATTTTCATTACAATCATCTACACAGTGTTGATCAATTAATTGGGCTTAAAGTCATGGCTAGCATGACCAAAAACAAACCTTTGTCTATTTAGACTCGCATTGAACCCTTGCACCAAGATTGACATAGTCATGTCAAATTGACCAAGGCAAGACTTCTACGACCAACTATAGACCCACTTAACTCACCCTAGATGAGTCATGGACCAAAGGTCTCCTAAATCAAGGGATTTCATTTCATATTTTCTTAAGCTTAGGATATTATTTCCAAAACAAATTTTAAACACATTAAATAGCTGTGACATATTCCCTTGGGTTCCCTGAGCTCCTAGCCACCTCCCCTTGGCTGGCCATCCTAGGCACCGGAGCACCTCAAAACTGAGAGCCACAACACTTAAATCCTCACCTAATTGACCCATCTAAGTTGTCCCACTCCCATTTTCCAATTGCGCCGCTTAGCTCACCACCTCAACAAGCTTTTGCACTTAAAGCCAGACCATGAGCTCCCCTCTCTAACCATGACTATAAAATCGCCTCTTCACGGCCAAAGTTTGGGTGTTGAAACTTTCTCAAAGAGACCCTGCCAATTGCTTCCACAACCTCCTTGAGACCTCCTTTGTGCAACCTGTTGACCTCACTTTTAGTTGAGGTCTAGAAAC